CAATGTGGAAAAAATATAATTAGGGTGCGAAATGGGCCGGGTCGGGCTGGGCTATGTTGGGCCCGGAAAATATTATTGAGTCAAAAAAAAAGAAAGCTCAGTGCAGTGGGCCCGTCCGGGCTTATTTCAAAATTCGACCAGACCCGGCCCGTTAAGTTATAAGTAAAGCTTCCATGGGCAGAGTTCGTTCAATTGGCTAGCATAAATCAGTTGCCAATTAATTTAAGACTACAACTTCACTGCAAAAGAATCAAAAAAGATCAAATTCCGAAAAATTTGCATAGAAAATAAAGTATACGCCTACCGTTTATTGACCATATCAAATTATACTGGAGAATGAGGTTTTTGTTAAAGATTTTTGTTAAAGATTTTTATTACGTTGAATTTAAATAAAATTTATTAACCATTTAATTTAATGGAAATAAACTTATAATGGAAGATCCTGGTTTAAATACTCGAATATGTTCAGTTCTTGCAGCGTGGTCTGTTAATCGGAATAAGTCTTGGTTATAATATTAATAAGTTTGGATTCATTGATAATAAATACCACATTTACCCAATTTACCTCTTTTTTACGTATGCGATTAATTAATTTTTTTTATACATTAATTTACAGTATAAGCTGCTTCATACGAAAATTTTTTTATTTCATATTATATAGTACTAAAAATGATGAACATTTTAACAACTATGTAATTTGACTGGTTAATTATCACGGGTGATCACATAAAATTTAACCAATCAGATAAACTTTCATGAGTTTATCGGGTATTATTGGGCCCATATGGGCTTTTTTAACAAGCTCAAGCCCGGCCCAGTATTTTTTTCAAGCACGACCCGAGCCCGGCTCACATAATAAACGGGATTAAAAATATGGGCCTAAACTAGGCCCAAGCCTGGCTCGGCTCGCAAATTCCCGGATTTAACCCGGCCCATTCCGTATTCTAGATATAATGAATCACATCTCTCTTAATTTTGTCGCAAGTTTTCCATATTCGGTAATAAATTCGGATTTACGAACGATATCCCAAATTCTCATTGAACTTCGGAACCTGCAATTAAACAAATACCAATTTTAAATATTAATGTAACAGTATCAATAAATTACAAACAAGAATAACAAGAACTAATTAGTTAATATACCATTCTTTTTCAGACACCTGGCCTTTTTTACCAGCCTTTTTTGGCAACTGAAATAATTGATTTCTCAAAGATTCTGCCAATACAATAAATGTATCAGGCGCGTTTAAATAAGTAAATCCAATATACTCCCCTTTAGGACGAAGGGGTTGATTCTCATAGGGAAGAAGAAAAACGTTTGGTAATCGTTGATTATCTGGATACTTGTACATAGTCAATGACTTTGTCATGGAAACATTTCCTAATCATAAAATGAAATCAAATACATCAGTAAAAATTTAAATGTTAAGATACAAAAGTATCATATTACCAAAAATTTTCAAATTCGAATCTTTAAAAATATTATTCAATAAATCGCAGATAGACGTATGTTTAGTTGACGTGAAATCGGCGGGCAAAGTTTTATTACATACCAATACTGTTGACATAAAGCATTGTCAAAAAGAAACGCCACAAGTAAAAATAATAAAAAGTAGTAATCAAGGAAAAAATAATTACCGATATCAGGATAGTATTCGGTACCAGCGTCCATTGACGCTAATGATGGTATAGTTGGAAATTCAGGTATATGATATTTCAACATTTCTGCTTTCTTTAAAAAATTCCACATTGCATAATCTATACTCTCAGTGACAGTAATAACAACGTTGCAAACCGAAAAAAGAAAGATAACAATTTGAAGTGACTATCCGAAAAAGCCTTATATATAAGTACGTAAATTCGAAACCAAAACTTCTATGTCATAATTCGAGTATTTAAAATTCCTAACCTGTAGCTCAAGCCATAATTCGGGTGATATATTATCGGGAATGTAATCATTTCTCATCGCATGTTCGAGAACTGATAAACTAAAAACAGGCTAGAAATCAAAAAAAAAAAAATTTTTTTAAAAGTAATTTACGTTAATGAAAACATAATTCTAATATTATTATACTATTATACCTGAGTATCTAAAAGTATGATCCTTTCAGGCGTGATATGAACGTCAATACCCGTAGTTTCATGGCAGGCTAAATTTAGTGTATCAATTGATTGCATAGGGAAAGCCTAATACGAGAAAAGAGAGAGAGATATATATATAAAGTTATTTTCTCGCCATTGATTAAAAAGTTTATAATTTTGAGAATTCAAATACTTGGTCATACATTCTGCGGGTCTTGACATAACGCAGATATAACAGTAGATTTTCCAACTCCTTGAGGTCCACATACTCCAACAACGAAATGACCCGGAAGATCACTTAAAATCTTTTAACACATAATTCTTTGTTAGAACTACCTACTTCAAAATCCGGTATTTCTTCACATGCTAACCTTTAAAACAGATTCGTGGTTAAGTACACCCTTCTCATTAATCATTTTCACAAATGGTTTGTCGAATGGCTTTCCTTTAAAAGTCATTGGCTTGGTCTCTACGCGTGGTGCATTAACTGAAGATGCGCGGTTAAAAGAATCGTCGCGAAATATGCGAACAGGCGGGTGAAAGGTTGTTTGTGAAGAGCCTTCTTCTTCACCCTTGTCAGGAACCTGTGGAGTTGAAACGCTGGAAGTTTGTGGTCTACGTTCAAGAATGACAGGTGCCTGATAGAAAGATTTCGAAAGGTGGTCCGGAGTTGGTGTTGTCAATGACCCTGAAGAAGAATCCTGAAAGTCAATTACAAATGTAAAAAACTAAATGAAAGTTCTTGTAGAAAATAAATAATTAAAGAAAAACAATTTGATTGCACACCTTCGGTTTTCTCTCGCGTCTTCGACCATTACTTCCTTCTCCACGTGAGCGTTGATCTCTTCCACTCCCGTCCCTTCTTATGTTTTTAGTGTATCCAATACCATTCCCCTCACGACCTCCTCTGCCATTTCTTCCTTCCTCGTTACGGTCTTCAGACTCTCGATTGCCATTACTTCCCTTCGCCATAAAGTTGTTTCAATATTGAACTTGCAACAAGTAAATCGTGAAATTCTCGCTGTTGCTGTTATACGTATATCGAACATAATGACTTTATTCTTACGTATCGATATAGTTATCCGATATTATTAGGCGCAGTCATAAGCCATAGTGGCGCTGATGGTGAATAAATCGTGGCTTGTCAAAAATGCTAGAGCCAGAACGAGAAAATTGACCAATAAAATCCATGCTGATCTCTTGAAAAACTATAATTTAACAATTTAATCATGAATGTCTCTAGCTGCTTACCACCTGCCCCAAATTGGAATTCTACAAAGGCTGCAGCAATCTCTTTAGAAGAAAACTTGTTCGCTTATGCCTCTTCAAACGACGTTATATTATTAAGCGCTGGGACACTTCAATATGTAGGTAGATTTCGCGGTCATACAGATAAGGTTAACGCCGTGGACTTTTGTGATAACCTTTGTGCTAGTGGAGGTGCCGATAACACAATAAGATGTTGGGATGTGTTGACCCAAAAGCAAACAGCTATTTTGAAGCATCATAAGGTATCAATTTTACGGCGAAATTATTCATATTTGTGATCCTATCGAGTATAGAATTGACCAATACTTTAATATTAGAGTGAAATTTATGCATTGGCGTGGATAAAAGACAAAAAATTTGTAGTATCAGGTATAATATTTAGACATTTTATCGTGTTTTTAAAATATGAAATAATTTTTGACACGTTTATCGGATGATTTTAATTATAGGAGACAAATCTGGTGATATTTCTATATGGAATCCATCAAAAAACAAGTCCAACAAACTTTACCTCATTCAGTCTCCAATATATGATATTTCATCATCACCTACAGTTGAGAATTCATTAGCGATTGGGTAAGCATTCTTATTTTTCTTTTAAACAATGATTATTTTATTAATAGTTTTTTTTTTTTTTTTTTTTTTAGTTTTCAAAATGGTGCTATAATTGTCGTTAAGATTGATTCTGACTTGAATGGAAGGATAACGCGTCGACTAAATGGTCACAATTTTGAAATTCAAAGTCTATCATGGGAATTTCCAACTGGTATTTGTCTTACAATATATTTAAAGCTTATCTCTTACTATTACACACGATTCACATTACATTATATTACATTATAGGGGATTATGATACTGCAAAGTATACTTTACTCGCATCCGGCTCTCGGGACAAAACAATACGCATTTGGAATGTTGAAGAAGAATGTTCGATAAAGACAATTAATTTACCCCAGCCAATGCATCATCTCACTGATCAACAAAAATCCAGAGTATGGGTGGCTTCAACATGGATTCCTGATCGTAATAGTGTGATTACAAGCTCATATATGTTTGTATAGTGTTTGCAGAAATTATCGGTTATTATTTTATATTGTAATGTTCACCGACAATATTTTCTTATCCTCGCTATATCATTTTGTTTATTTTTACTACATGCCTAAAGGGGTGATTTACTTTTATGGGATTTAAATGTTTCAACTACGAAATATCAAAAATTTTTGAGTGGCCATTCTCGAAGCGTTTTCTCGATTGTGATGTATGCATGTGGTACGAAAGCTATAACAATCTCTATGGACCGAAAGGTAACTTTACTTCTCAGTTCAAATATTCTTTCTTTTTAGTAATTTATAATTCATTCATAATTTATAATTCTTTCATCATTAAATTCCAGATTATTCTCTGGGATCTCATCCAAAAGAAACCAATTTTTACTGTGTCCTGCATTCACAATTATGTTAGTGACATTGATGTTTCTGTAGTGGATCCACATAGGCTTGCCATTGCAAGTGGTGATAATAATATTCGTGTATGGAATATCGCGAATAAGCTTGATCCATTTAGCTGCACTTTGTATTGGAAAGGCTTGAAAAATAAACTTACATGTGTAAGCATTTTAACAAACCTCTTTAGCATTAAATCTTAACATTATTATAATTGTTATATTAAAAAAATTATATAGATAAAATGCCATCCAAACCGTGAAGGATTCCTTGCATTTGGAACTGATCTGGGTAATATTGGCTGGTATGAAGTATATAACGACAAATCCAAAACCTTCAATTCTTATCATAAAAGCAAGGTCTATTCTATCCATTGGTGTAAACCTGAATGGTTAGGCCAAGGTTTAGCAGATGAGAATTCAGACTACAGCTTAATTATAAGTTGTGGAGGGGATGGACAGATACTTTTAAGTGATACTACGAAACCAAAGCAATCTATGATCATCAACGACATGATAAAAGAAGCAAATCCCGAATGGACTTCAGTTATGAAGGTAATTTTAATAGCATGCTTAATTTTCAGCTTGTATCTAGTAATATTTAAATAAGTGTTTATATGGCTTAGGATAAATCTGGTTATCTACCAAAACGTAGCGAAATAGCGGTTCATCCAGCGGGCAAATTTCTTTCTATTGGTAATGTCGATGGCAGTATCGAAGTTTATAGTCTACCGTCCTTTAAAATTGTCTACCATAATATCGGCCATAGATCCATAATCAATAAACTTGAATGGTGCCATTTAGGTATGTTAGGTTAATGGTTTCTCTTAAAGCTCAAATAACAGATAATTTCAACCAATTTCAATTTTAGATTAAATAGGAAATTCATTTTCTCTTGCTTCTGGCGCG